AATGGATGCTGAGGTGCCAGTAAAAACAAGGTAGAAATTGTTCAGACATGGGAGAAATGGTAGAGGTGGAAAAGAGGCTTTTCTTCATCACTTTCCCCTTTTTAATTCCCCAAAATCTTGTTTTCCTATAATTTCCTGAAATTTCTCAAAGACTGTTGGCAACTTATTTATCAGACACAGAGATTTTTCCCTCCTCTCTTCCCATTTGTCTAGGTATTTTAGTGCTATTTAATACATTGGAGAGGAAGAGGAAAATGGATTAGAAATCCAAGAGGTGTCTGTCTCCTTCCTGGCTGAGGTAACATTAACCCAGGATTGTCCTATGGGATATGGGCCGGGGCCCAGTAATGCTGTGGGAGGAGCACCTACCTGTAGAGATATTCAGTGTGCCTCTCTGCCATTTTTTGGTTGTGAGACTTGGGTAACTCATTTGACTTGTGAGACTCATTTCTATCAATTGTAGAATGGAGAGAATGGAATCTGTTTTGGCTATATCACAGGTTCATGTTTGAAGGAGATAGTGAAGTACATGTATTAATATATACCATTAATATATACCATGTATTAATATATACCATTAATATATACCATTCCCCAGAGAAGGCCCTAAGAACAGGACTCATTTTCTCTCTCCTAATATGTTGTTTCCCCTCCCATTTCTCAAATTCTCTTAATGTTTCAATTATTACATTTCTCATCCTTGAAAACTCCTGAGTTTATTTATTCATTTACTTATTTGTGCATTCATTGACCCATCCGTTTATCCTTGCAACATTTGAGTTCCTACTGTATGCAAGTCATCATTGATGTTCCCTTAAAAGAATGAGTGAAGATGTTTTCTGCCATTTCTTGAGCACACATTGTGCTAAATGCTTTACTATCTTCAAAGTGTCCCTGTGAGGTAACATTATTTCTTCCTTTTTGCAGTTGAGGTAACTGAGGCTCAGAAAGTTAAATATCTCCCTCAGAGGTGAGGAAATAAGAGAACCAAAGGTGTATTCAGGTCTGCTCCAGAGCCCATGCAGGCCCACTGCCTGTTTCCTCATGTCTGATCTATTACAGGGCCTTTTCAGGGCTTTTTTTTAGTGCTGTCTCTGAATTGCCCTCTTTATTCTCTCTCTCCTGATCCTGGTTCAGACCTTCCTTACCCTGTGTTCATTATTGCAGCAGCCTCCTTGCTGTTATTCCTGTCTTTGCCAGTTTGCTCCTGCCTGCACTCCATCCGCAGGTGTCATCAGTTTGATCTTCCTAAAATAGTTTTCAATATGCAGTCTCCTGCTCAGGAACAAGACTGCCTTCCTGTTATTATTGGATCAAGTCCATCTGTGTCCGCCAGATGTTAAACTCCTTGCCTTCCCACAGTTACCTCTGTTTATTTATTCAATAAACATTTGACCCTGAGCTACTTACTGGCTGTTGGATCGTAAAGAGGAAAAGGTATGTAGCTTCAAAATGCTTGTAGTTTGATAGAATAACTCATCTAGAATTCGTCACTTCAGTTAAGCTAGTGTTCTTTACTATTCCCTAGTCAAGCAAAGTTATTTCTGTCTCTTCATACTGTGTTCACAACTTATAGGGCTTTTTAGGCCTTTCCACATATTTTTTGAAATCCCCATAATTTAAGGCATGCTTAGGTACCCCCTTTCTTTCTAGATTACCTCTCTCCTTTCTATAATTTATTATAGTATTTATTGTGTAGATGTATATACCATTTAGTATCATGATAGGTAATTCTTTGCACTTCTGTAATTTCTGTATTTTCTACAAGGTACTTTTTTGTTTTTTCTGAGTCTTACTCTGTCACCCTGGCGGGACTGCAGTGGTGAGATCTTGGCTCACTGCAACCTTCACCTCCCAGCTTCAACCGATTCCATGCCTAAAGCCTCTCAAGTAGCTGGGATTACAGGCATGTACCACCACACCCAGCTAATTTTTGTATTTTTAGTAGAGATGGGGTCTTGCCATGTTGGCCAGGCTGGTCTTGAACTCCTGGCTTTAAGTGAGCCACCTGCCTTGGCCTCCCAAAAGTGTTGGGATTACAGGTATGAGTCACTATGCCAGACCTACAAGGTACTTTTATATGCTTCAGCTTGTTTGAACCTTATAATACTGATGTAGATGTGGCAGATATTATTTCCATTTCATAGGAAAATAAACAAATTCCAAGAAGTTGGGGGACTGTTGATACCTATGTAGCTAGTGAGTTGTAAGGCTATTTTTAGATCTGAGCTCTTTTGAATCTTTGAAGGCAGTGTGGTCTACGGGAAGACCACGGCCTTAGAAGCCTAGAGATGTTTGTGGTAATGGTGAGGCATAGTAGAAAGCACAGAGGGCTCTGGGTCAGGTTGGTTCCAGTTTTGGCTGTACACCTCACAATCTGTGTAACTTTAGGGAAGTTGCTCAGTTCTCAAAGCCTCAGTTGTCTTGTCAGCATCATCCCTGACCAACCTCTCAATGGGGCTATTGTAGTGTCTATATATGATGACATTGTTCTTGGCTAACTTTTATTTAGAACTTATTAAATACCAGGCAGTGTCTGAATGCTTCATATGGATTATCTTAGCTAATCCTCACAATACCTCTCTGAGATATGTTCTATGTTACTTCTCTATTGACAGATGCGGAAATTGAGGCATAGAGATGTTAAGTAACTGGACCAAGTTTATGTAGCTACCAAGTGGTAAAGCCAGGAAAGCAGCCTGAGTCTAGAACCAGTACTCAACCATGGTAAAATGTATTCTTTTAAGGTATCCTGTAGACTGTAAAGTGCACCAAACATGTGAGGTCCAGGCTGCAAGGACGTGCCTGGCCCTGGCCATCTGTGTAATGGTGAACAGGAAAGGGAGGGGGCAACATGGAGATTCTGAAGGGAGGAGAGAGATGATTTCCTAGGGGGTCTGGCCAGGACTGAAGATATGGAATTGCGTTTTGGGCCATATTTCTGAATGTTGGCTATCATTCTACTGTTGGGCTACTGGCCTATCTTAGAAAGAGGGTAGAGTTTGGTGAAGTCACTGTTCTGCCAGTGAAGTAAGCCCAGTGCAGAAAAGACAGGTGTCACTAGGCCGAAGGCAACTAGATCCATACCACACCCAGTGGAGCCATAGGTCAGACCCCAGGCCAACCTTGTTGGCTGTGCAGGGGCAGGGACCCTGGTCTGTTGGTTCCCAGCCCATGATAGATGTGTAAGTGAATGAAAACAGTATGGCTAGTCACTTGGAGACCTCTCATTAGAATGCATAATCTCATTAAATTAAACAATTTTAATTATAAAAGTAATTCATGGTTATTGAAGAATTTTTGTGAAATACAGAAACACAGAAAATAAATCATCTCATTGGGTCTGAGATGCTAGGAGGCAAGGCCAAGGGTACAAGGGGGCAGATGACTGAGGTGGGCTGGGCCTTGTGCTGCAAGAGGAAAGAAGGCTCTCTGCTTTTGACTATACTGCCTTTAGTAATCAAGTTGAGTCTGATATTCTTGGGGTTTACAACCTGGTCCCTTGTAACAACCATAAATGATTAAAGAGTGACTATGGCAACCTTTGCCAGCCTTATCGGGGGGCGGGGGGGCTGGCGTACTTGGCTTGCTTTGATATGTGTGTGAAGTTGTCTTCATTACTGCCCTTCCCTTGCTGCCTATTAGGTAGGGCCTGTCTCCTCTGGCTCAGTGTGAGGTTGAAATACAAGCCCTAATCACGTGAATTTGGACCCTGAGTCCAGAGTTTGGAGAGGGAAGGGAGAGACAAGAGCACCAGAAAGGTGGATGAAAGATCCTTATATTTGCTCTGTGGAGGCCCTAGGCAGCTGATCACTTTGAAGTGTCACTTGATGCTTATGGGCCTGCTGAGGCCTTACATCCTGGGGGAGAGGGAAACAGTAATGGTGAGTGGGTACAGACTAGGAGGAACTGTCAAGACTGCTCCCAGCCCTAGGACAGTGTATTGTAGAGGTGAGTGCTGAGTGTCTGTGGCGTGGGCCCAACCCTTAGTCTCTGGCCCAGGTGAAGCAGGGGGGCACTAGGACCCAGAGGCTAGCACGGTTCCTGACAAGTCTAGAGCAGCACTAGCGCAGAGTGAGACTCATCAGCTGGCAAGCAGGATTCTGTGTCTCTGGGTTCAGGAATCCTCGGGCAGCAGAGGGGACTTGCTCCTTAGCCCCCATCACTGCCCCCACCCCTACCCGTGTAGGCCACCGAGTGAGGCCCATGGACAGGGGAGGGCTGTGCCTGACGACTCCTGTGTCCCTCCATGACGGCCCAGCGCCCTGACCCTCCTGCCTAGGTTTCTACCTTTTCTCTCTGTCTTTGGCCAGCTGGGGGAGGGGGTAGAGGCCGGGTGAGCAACATGGCACAGAGCAAGAGGCACATGTACAGCCGGGTAAGTGGCCCTAATCTGGGATGGCCCTGGAAGGGCTGCTGGGGAAGGCCTGGGTGCCTGTGGACATCATTGCTGTGGGGGCTGGGGAGATAGGCTGGAGCTCAGCTGGGGGCACTCAGACTGTGTTTTCTAAGGAGCCCTCAAAGCCCTGGTGATGTATGGCTGGACAGCCTTCCCTTTTTAGAGTTGAGCCCTAAATGGGGACTAGCAAGGCCTGGCCTCTGACTCTAATTGGCCCTCATTACCAGGGATTCCTGAGGGGGACCAGGCTATCCTGGGGACTCAGAATGTGGATGATGGGTCAGAGAGGTCTTACAGTGAAGCCTTTCCTAAGAGCTGCTTTGTTATATGTTACTTGCTTTCTTTCTCTTCTGAGATTGAATCTGTAGCTACTGTTGTGGCCCCCTGATTCTGGGAGGCTTATTGGGGTTGGAAAGTGGGGGAGTCTTTGGCTTTGTGTTCAGCCTTTTATGTCACTGGTAATTCCTTTTATTGTCAGGTCCATGAGAGCCATCCTGCTGTCCCAGGTGTGATTTGGGGTCCTGGAGCCTCTGGGAACTATATCCTCACCCTCCTGGATGAGCTCTTTGGGGAAGGGAATTAGGCAGTGACAGGCTGGGAGGTGTCCTGGCTCTTCTTGGCTCTGCCAGAGCTCCCTTCTGAAGCTATTATAAATGGGAGTATCAGAAGGGACCTCCATAGAGTCTTTAGGATGATGGTATCACTTCATTAGGCCTCATTCATCTGTTTGCTGCAAGGCCCCTGGTTCATGGAGTTGCTATTGATAAAAGTGACTTAAGTGTGATTTTCCTCTAAAGCTTGGGCCTATTTGGGACCTAATTTCGTATTGTGTTCAGTCATCATGGGTGTGCCAGAGGCTGAGAGCTGTCCAAGGACAGTGCCTTAGTCTGCTCTTTTCCTTTGCCCATCAGTAGGGCGATAAACCATTCATTTGGACCACTGAGCAGAGTCTTGGGGACAGAGTGAGGGGTAGATCCACCCAATATACTTGGCCTGTGTTTTGCTTTTTATAGCAACATAGCATGAAAAAGAATCTCTAGAGCTTGCAGGTAGAGAGTTGACCAAACAAGACTCAGGCCAGGTAGAAAGGAGTTGAATGGTTGAATGGGCTGTGGTGAGGCATCTGGGGTATCATGGTGGGTATGTGGATGGGGGTGGGAGGAGTCAGATCAGGAAGGAGAGGTGGTGACTTAAGGGTCTGGAAGGAGGCACAAGTATGTGCCTCTGACAGGGTGAGGCCTAAGAAAACCATTTCAAACATAGAGGAGACAAGTGACAGTGGAAAGGGAAACAGGATTCTGTAGGGTCACCCGCTGAATTGCCTGTCTTTCCAGCTCAGGCTCTTGAGTCAGGGCATTGGGTTGTGGGGAGCCTGGTCTAAACTGAGTTATTTGCTTGAGCTTAATTCCCCTCCTGAGAGGAGAATTAAGAAGGCAGTGTTTCTGAGAAAGCAGCCATGTGGTGACATTCACAGACTGATTAGTGAATTCTGATTTGTTATAAAATTTAAATATAAATGCTTAAAAATTCTAGCAGATTCCAGAGGATTTGGAGAAGTCTTAGAACATCACTGACATTTTTCAAAGGGAAATTTGGGGGTCCACCCAATTCTGCATATGGGGTTTAGGAAAATGACTCTGGTGGTTTTTCAGTCCAGCATCCCCTGGCTGAGACATTTCTTATACATGAGGATGCCACCCTTGATCTGAGGCCTCTAACTGTCTATGTTTGCCTGTATCTTTCTTTTAGACGCCCAGCGGCAACAGGATGAGTGCAGAGGCAAGCGCCCGGCCTCTGCGGGTGGGTTCCCGTGTAGAGGTGATTGGTAAAGGCCACCGAGGCACTGTGGCCTATGTTGGAGCCACGCTTTTTGCCACTGGCAAATGGGTAGGCGTGATTCTGGATGAAGCAAAGGGCAAAAATGATGGAACTGTCCAAGGCAGGAAATACTTCACTTGTGATGAAGGGCATGGCATCTTTGTGCGCCAATCCCAGGTACTCGTGACCTTCTTCTGTGTGTGTGCATATCTGTTACATGTGCAGCTGTGTTCGTACTTCCTTTTCCTGAGCATGAGCATAAGCTTCTGGTTGGGAGAGTGGAAGGTAGTGGGGGAGGAAAGCTTGGAGATCCATCCTTAGGGAAGCTGCCCTGGACTCTTGACTTGCTTGAGGCCTGGGGAGGGACCCATATTACAGCCATCCTTGATCTGGCTATATTGAATCTATTCTGTGGCCTCAGATCCAGGTATTTGAAGATGGAGCGGATACTACTTCCCCAGAGACACCTGATTCTTCTGCATCAAAAGTCCTCAAAAGAGGTAACAACCACCAACTTACAGTTGCCTCCTCATATCCAGGAGGAGTCCCCAGAACTTCTCCTCATAACATGGGGCCACAGTGGATCCTAAGATTTTTTTCCCCATCACCACTATATTCCCTTATATCTCCCCAACCCGACCATGATGTTCTCTGCCCCTACCTCTCTATACAAGTACACACTTTGTTTCTGTTTGCTTTCTACAGAGGGAACTGATACAACTGCAAAGACTAGCAAACTGGTGAGTGGTTTGGGGGTGAGAATGGGGAGTAATAGAGGGAGGGGAAGGAGAAAGATGGGGGATACCCAGTGCTAGGCTGGTAGAAGCAGTAGGTGAGTCCGAGTTGCCTTCTAGTCTCTCCAACTTCCCTAAGAAGGAGGCTTTCTTTTTTTTTTTTTTTTTTCACTTGGATGCAGCTGGGCTAAGGCTGAAAAGGGCATTAGCCAAGAAGGAGGCTTTCTGGGGATGAATTGCTGCATTAGAGTTACAGTTAAGGTGGTAGAAGGGAAAAACTCATAGGCTCCAGAAGTTCAGGGTCAAATGAGATTGAGCTGAGGGTGATAGGAAACACAGGTCTGACCTCAGTAATGTAGTCAACTTCTACCTTTTGGTACCCAAAGTTGCCAACATCTAAAGGGTCTGAGGGTAAGGTAAAGGTAGAAGGTAGAGGAAGTAGGAACTTTCCTATTCATGTGAATGGCAAGGAGCTGGGCCCTCTGCCTCCTGTTTTAAGCTATATGCAGAGGGTGCATCCTCGTTCCTCCCTGCCACTCCATGCAGTGTGTGTGTGAGGTGGGGCTGCAGACTCTGCAGCTTCTCTGGGCCAAGGTGTGGACATCCTGGAAGCTGATCTTTGAGGGACTACTCATCGCACCCTGACTCCCCCTACCCTCACCTAACCTGTGTATGCCTCGTTGGTCTTAACACCTATGCCTGGGACATCTATTCTCTAACTCTGCTCTTCCTACTCCTCATGCAGCGGGGACTGAAGCCTAAGAAGGTGGTGTGTTTACTCTTTGTGACTGGGTGGGTGGGGGCCATGAGCCCCCTCCCCAGCTGTCCTGCATGTCTTTGGACTGCTGCATGCATGTGTGTGTGACCTTGGGCTGGGATGGCCAGAGGAAATGGTGGCCTTGGCCTTCAGAGTTCCTTTGAAGGGTGCAAGAACATCAGGCTTAATGTCCAGGCCCAGGTAGCACTCATTAGGGATGATTCTCTCTGCCCCAGGACTCCAAGTCAAAGATTCCCAGGTCAAAAACTATAAGCATTTGACTGTAAATAGCAGCACCGTGAAATAGATCATTTACTGGGTTACAGTGCATTCTCACTTAGCCAGAGCTTAGAAGACCATGGAAGGATAGACTGGGGAAATGGGGTTGAGGAAGGTACCAAGTGAGGGGTTTTGCAAGGAGATGGGAGGTCAGGGAACAGAACATAGAAAGAACAGTCCTGAGTTGGAAAACCTAAGAGCCTTCATGTGCCTGCCTCTGGATGGGCACTGCCATAAATATCTCCACACCCTGCAACTCTGCCCCATCAGTCTATCCCTGCCTCCTCCTTCTGGTGGTATGCCTGAGGCCTACCTCCTACTCCTTGCAGCCTTTCATTAACCATCATTGGAGTGGGACTCAATCGTGCCACCTCCCCTCCCCACCACAGACTACTCTTTAAAATCTTAGATCACTGCCATGACCACTTCCTCATACCAGACCCTGCCTTGGGCCTGTGCCCAAGTTGTCTTTGACCTGCATGTACCTGCCTGGCCTGTATGTATTGTTCTGTATGCACAATTCTGTGATTTCCTTGTCATCAGCCTATCTTAGGCTTTTCTGACATTGCATGGAGAGCTGCTGGATTGGGGTTGTGGGAGGGGAGAGGAAAACATTTCCTTTTCAACTCCTGATTGGTGATGGGTCCTCACTTTGGAGTCTTGCCATGGTAGAGACCACATGCCAGTACTTGCTTTGGGTGCTGGCTCCTAGTGGGAATGGGGATATAAGGAAAATACTGCTATGAAGGATCCTATGCTCATTTCAGAGTCATAGAAACTTGTCTTTGTCCTTTGACTGTTGTCTCCTGGCTGGGACTTCCATTTCACCTCAGGCCTTGAATAGAGAAGAGCATGAAACTATGGTCTGCTGTTGATGGAGTTCTGGCCACAGCCTGGTTTAACCCTGGGCTGGGGCCCGAGCAATGCCCAAATTTAGGGGCTTTGGTAGCTGCCTGGGGAAATGTGGCAAAATCCAGCCTAGGCCACTCCTGCTGCCCTTCTGCATTCATGTTGGAAAGTGTCAGTCAGACAGTTGAGTACACCCACCCCCAGGCACCCCAGTCGTCCTATTCAGTGGTTTTTTTCAAAGCATATCACTTAGCTTAGGGCCCCTGCTCTCACCCATGTGGATCAGGGAGCTGATTCCAAAGCGAAAGAATGTGCTTTGACGGGGGAGACAGAAGAAAATTCAGATGTCTCTGCAAAGTGCTTAGTTCTTTTTGGAAGCCCTTTAGAGACAGGCTTTAACTTGTCTACAACCAGGGGATGGCTAGAGAGGAACCCAATAGTCATTAGAGCTGCTGCCACCCAGATGTGTGTTCTCCACGATTTCTTAGTCACTCTGTGTGCTCTTCAGAGCTGAGGCCTGTTGCTAGAGGGGCACTCTAGATATGTGTGCCAGATAAGAGACCGTAAAGGTGTTGCCAGGGTGTATAAGAGACAGAAGCGGAGTTAATGGGGCTGTGGGTGGGTGTGATGGGGAGAGTGTGAGTAGGAGAGAGACTGCTAGAGCAGAGAGGCCCTGTGTCCCTGCCTAGTGATGCTCTGGCCCCATAGAATGCCATTTCTGGGATAGCCCCTGGCCTAGTTTTTTGGATCACACTCTTGGGAGTGGGCAAGAGAGGGAACAGAGGAGCCAGAACCTGTTCTTTGGAGAAAGAAGCAAGACAATCTCTGCGCATGACCGTCATGAGGAGGCGGAGCCAGCAAAGCCCTAGATGGTTGCTAGGTGACTGAGGAGCAGTGGCTCCACCCCCATGGAGCAGAGGAGGGTGGGTGCATGACGTCAGGTGGAGCTGGTGCTGCGGCCACTGAGGCTGCCATCAGCCTAAGCTGGTGAACTGGGCCAGGCACCGCTCCGGTGCCTGCCGGAGCCTGGCGATCCTGCTGCACATCTGCGGGGGCCTCTGTGTCAGAGTGGCGGTGGTTTGCAAGCTGGGAAGCTGCCGCACCGGGAAGCTGAGGCTGCATTGTTGGGATTTGATGCACTAATCTCCTGTCTCCGCCGCCTTTCCCTCTGTTCGGTCTTTTGCCCTCCCTCCCTTCGTCTGTCCTTCCTCCGTTTGTTTGTCTATCCTCCTCTGTCCCTCCTCTTTCCTCTCCTTGCTTTCTTTGGTTTTCTGCAATGATGAGACAGGCACCGACAGCCCGAAAGGTACTATTGCTTGCTCTGGTCCTGCTGCTGGGTTGCCAGGGCAATGGTGGCAGCAGGCTGCTGGGGTGGGGGTGGGGGCTGATTGACTTCATCTGTCTACCTGGACAGGGGAGGTGGGTGAGGACGAAGGTGGGGTTAGGGAGAAGTGTGTGTCACCACTATGCCCCACACCCTGGGCATTTGCTTCCTGCCTTGCCTGCTTTTGGCCCTAAGTCTGTGTTCCAGACCTTATACCCGGTGGTCTCACAGGCTTGGGCTTCAGGCAGGCTGTACTGCAAACCGGTTCTGAGAGGGTTTCCCATGGTAGAACCTAGGGAAGCAGGCCCAGGTATCTCAGTGGTTCCAACAGGCCTGCCTGCCTCACCCAGCCTTTGCTAGAATACCTCTCGGTTGTCCTCCCTGCATCCCCCAGTCCCCAGGGTTTGTATCAGGTCACTTTACCAGGGTAAATTCTAGGGATGGGGACTGTAGAATAGTTTTTGACCCACAACTATGAAGCTTAGTCTAGGGGAGGAGGGATGGGAATTGGTTTTCTTGGCCTCAGTGTATCCTGGAAATAGGGCCTAAGCCAAATCTTGTCTTGGCTAGAGCAGTGAGATACTGGGTAGCAAGAACACTATTTGGAAATTGAAGTTAATTGTCTGCTTACCACTTTGCGGTAACCTGAAGGGTTTCGAGATTTGGTTTAGGGCTGTAGTTTCTCTGTGCCGCTGCCCACCCCCACCTCCTTTCCTATAGCTGGGTGGGGTTACTTTGCTGAGCTCTGGGCTTCTGCTAATGGAATATTCATGGTCCTGACACCTGAGCCCTCTTCCCTAGTGATCGGGACTGCTGCAGGATCTGGTTCTGGGGAAGGGGGTTGCGGGGAAGGAAAACAGCAGTGTTGATCTGATCTCCCATTTCTGGGCTTAGATTACCCTTGTCACATGAGGTTTCTAGGGAGTTCTGTATAGAGTCTAGCACTTGAAGGAAGAAGCTGACCGGGGAAAGTCCTTGGGAGTGGTGACTGGGTGGGGCCTCTGGCTCTGGACTGGAGTGAGAGAGATCTTTCTCAGGAGAGAAGATCTCTCGAGACCTTCTCACTAGCTGCTTCCTTGTTCTATGGCTCAGCCTAGAGATGGACATCTGGGATTTCCAGGGTGTCTGAAGGGGTGAGGCTGCAAGGGTTGGACAAGGGTGGGAGCAGGAAACAGGGAGAACGGGAGTTCTGGGTTCCTGAAGTAGGAACACGATGGTTTACTGAAGGGAGAAGGGGATGGGATGGGGAGGGGTGGCAAACTGTAGCCCCATTCCTGTTACTACTTCTGCTCTCATTGCTGTCCCTTTTGGTGTCTGTCTTTCTGCCATTTTCCTTTCTTTCCTGACTTCTTCTCTTCTGGCTCCTGTTGCCTGTCCAGACCACAACTCGGCGGCCCAAGGTGAGAAAACAGGCCCCTGTGTGAGCCACTGTTGAGTGTACACACACACTTCGGGCATGTGCATATATGAGGGCGTGTGTATGAGCAAGTGAAAACTGGTCACAGTGCACCCTGGATTCTCTTCAGAGGGAAGGGGGGTTGGCGGTGCTGGCAGGCCCCTCCTAGGGAAGGGCCTAGGCTTTTAGGAGGTTGGCTTTTAGGAGGTTGTCTAAGCCAGTAGCTTAAATACAAAAGAGAAATGAAGTGGGGTTGTGGTTAATCAAAGCAGGCTTTCTTGAACAAGGGAATTTTGACCAGTTTTGAGGGGAGGGATTGGAAGATAAAGAACTTGGCAGTGTAAAATGTCAGGGGTTAAGGAGGTAAGTGCGTCTGTGACAGGCTTTGGGTGGGGATGTCTGAGGATTGCACATGATCTCTGAGTGTCAGCCTACTGGGAGAGCTTGGGGCTCAACGCTTTGAGAGAGCACTTTGGCAGACCTGTCTGCTTCAGGGCTTGAGCTTCAGGGCAGCTCCTCTGCCCACCTCCTCCCCTGCCCCACAGAGGCATGAATAGTGTCACAGGATCAGGGGATATGACAGAAGGATTGTTTCAAGGGGCCGTCTAGGGGTACAACTTTTACCTTGGCCCTTTTAACCTGCAAAGTCCCCTGAAATAGACTAGGGGAGATTCAGCTTGATTTCCAAAGAGCAGGGAGGGCTACAGGGATAGAGAGCCTGGCACCCCCACTTTTGGCCTAGCCTTCTCTGGGAATTACATTGTACTTTTTCCATCTGGGGGAGGAGGGCATAGACTGGAGCAAGGATGGGACTGAGAGTATTAAGAAGTTGCTAGAATGATCACAAGTGGGTCATAGACAGGGGTTCTAGGAAATAACGGATTCTACTCTTAAGGATAGTGCCAGAGTTAGGAGGAATGTGAGGTCAGTGCCAAGGGAGGAACCTTATAATCTTATGTCTTTCTCTATCTTTTCCTCCCTCTCTTCTCTGCCTCCCTTCTCCCCCTGTCCTTTGTCACTGTCTCTCTCTGCCTCTCCCTGTCCTTTTCATTCTGTTTCTGTGTTCTCACTGTGCTTTGATACTCTCTTTCTGCTCTTTCCCTTCCCTGTCTCCTTCCCTTGCCATATTCTCATATTCTGTTTCTGTTCCTCTTACCACCCCTATCCTCTGCTCTGTTTCTGGTCTGCCTCAACCTTCTCTGAGTAGCCCACCCGCCCAGCGAGCACTGGGGCGGCTGGGGCCAGTAGCTCCCTGGGCCCCTCTGGCTCAGCGTCAGCCGGTGAACTGAGCAGCAGTGAGCCTAGCACCCCTGCTCAGACTCCACTGGCAGCACCCATCATCCCCATGCCGGCCCTCACCTCTCCTGGAGCAGCACCCCCGCTTCCTTCTCCCTCCAAGGTAAGGACTGGGGTTGGGTAAAGGAGATTCAAGACACCCAGGGGCCTGTTGCTACCGGCTGGGTCTTGAAAATTTCTTGGGGTTGGCAAAGTCCCAGAACTTGGATCAGAAAGGCTGAGGACATAACCTGTGGATATCTTGCTACTGACTGGGCCACACTTTCCTTTCTTGCTCTTATGCCATACTTTGCCCGTATACACTGTGCCATGGTTTCCTCTCAGATGTTTGTATGCCACTGAGTTTTGGCTGCCCTGGGGTGGGGTGTTGTTTCCATACTTTCTTGTGTTCTTTGCACCAGCTCAGTGTTGGAGAGGAGGGGTGGGCTGTGCACAGACCATGAGGCCTCTCCTTTGCAGGAAGAGGAGGGACTAAGGGCCCAGGTGCGGGACCTGGAGGAGAAACTAGAGACCCTGAGACTGAAACGGGCAGAAGACAAAGCAAAGCTTAAAGAGCTGGAGAAACACAAAATCCAGCTGGAGCAGGTGCAGGAATGGAAGAGCAAAATGCAGGAGCAGCAGGCAGACCTGCAGCGGCGCCTCAAGGAGGCGAGGAAGGTTTGACTCTGGATGAAGTGGGTGGCTGGGGTGGCCTGAGACCCAAGGAAGCATGATGGAAACTAGATTGGAGCTGGAGTCTGAAGAACCCTGTGAGAAAGGGAGGCATGGGGCATCTCTGTGCTTGCATCCCCTCCCACCTCCACCTTTTCCTCAGGAAGCCAAGGAGGCACTGGAGGCAAAGGAACGCTATATGGAGGAGATGGCTGATACTGCTGATGCCATTGAGATGGCCACTCTGGACAAGGAGATGGCTGAAGAGCGGGCTGAGTCCCTACAGCAGGAGGTGGAGGCACTGAAGGAGCGGGTGGACGAGCTCACCACTGACTTAGAGATCCTCAAGGCTGAGATTGAAGAGAAGGGTAAGGGGCCCAGAGCTGCTGGGGACCATATGACTAGGTGAGAACCACACCTGAAAGTGTTATGAAAGTATTAATGGTCTTCTCCAGGCTCAGATGGCGCTGCATCCAGTTATCAGCTCAAGCAGCTTGAGGAGCAGAACGCCCGCCTGAAGGACGCCCTGGTGAGGTAGGATCTTCAGTGCTTGGTTCTGATGTTCACTCTCCTGTCTCCAGATGTGTTAGAGCACCCATCACCAGAGACTCTGACACATGCTCTCCTCCACCTCCCTGCAGGATGCGGGATCTTTCTTCCTCGGAGAAGCAGGAGCATGTGAAACTCCAGAAGCTCATGGAAAAGAAGAACCAAGAGCTGGAAGTTGTGAGGCAACAGCGGGAGCGTCTGCAGGAGGAGCTGAGCCAAGCAGAGAGCACCATTGATGAGCTCAAGGAGCAGGTCTGGGGAGCCCAGCCCCTCACCCAGAATCCCCCACCTGACTCTCCTATCGGTTGATGCCTCCTCTTTCTAGGTACCTTCTAGCAGCCCTTCTCCTCATCCCCCCATAACACAGGTGGATGCTGCCCTGGGTGCTGAGGAGATGGTGGAGATGCTGACAGATCGGAACCTGAATCTGGAAGAGAAAGTGCGAGAGTTGAGGGAGACTGTGGGAGACTTGGTAAGAGAAGAGCAGACACCTGACATCTGACCCTGATGAGGAGGGTATTTGGAAGGGATCTTATGAGAAAAAGATTGACGTGACCGCTGGCTTTTGAGCAGGGTGTAAGGTGAAGGGGCCCATCCTGGCCTTGCTACCCTGACCCTGCCTCTTTTTTTTGTTGTTGTTGTTGTTTTGAGATGGAGTCTCTTCCTGTCACCCAGGCTGGATTATGGTGGTATGATCTCGACTCACTGCAACCTCCACCTTCCAGGTTCAAGCGATTCTCCTGCCTCAGCCTTCCGAGTAGCTGGGACTACAGGCGCACACCACCACGCCCAGCTAATTTTTGTATTTTTAGTAGAGACGGGGTTTCACCATGTTGGCCAGGATGGTCTTGATCTCTTGACCTCGTGATTCATTCGCCTTGGCCTTCTAAAGTGCTGGCATTACAGGCGTGAGCCATTGCACCAGGCTGACCCTACCTTTCTTTTGCTCCAACTATGATGTGGTGTCCTAGGAAGCGATGAATGAAATGAATGATGAGCTTCAGGAGAATGCACGTGAGACAGAACTGGAGCTGCGGGAGCAGCTGGACATGGCGGGTGCGCGGGTACGTGAGGCCCAGAAGCGTGTGGAGGCAGCCCAGGAGACAGTTGCAGACTACCAGCAGACAATTAAGAAGTACCGCCAGCTGACCGCCCATCTACAGGTGCATGCCTACTGCCTGCTCTCTGCCGACCATCACCCCAGGGCTTCCTCATGACCCAGCTGTGCTTCGCTGTCTCTCCTCCTAGGATGTGAATCGGGAACTGACAAACCAGCAGGAAGCGTCTGTGGAGAGGCAACAACAGCCACCTCCAGAGACCTTTGACTTCAAAATCAAGTTCGCTGAGACTAAGGCCCATGCCAAGGTCAGGAAAGTGGGTTGGTCTGAGGGATGAGGTAGTAGAGATCCCAGCCTGGGTTGACCTGGTATGGGGTTCTGGGCTTCAGATTCTTGGGTGAAGGGGTGCTTTGTGTGGTAGTTTGGAAGATTCCTGGCCTGGGCTTGCCCGAGAAGCAAGGGATCTACTGGAGCAAGGCATGGGAGTTCTAGGACTCTTTCAACTCTGGCTGAGAGTCCTCCTCCCTGTTCACCTCACAGGCAATTGAGATGGAATTGAGACAGATGGAGGTGGCTCAGGCCAACCGACACATGTCCCTGCTGACAGCCTTCATGCCTGACAGCTTCCTTCGGCCAGGTGGGGACCATGACTGCGTTCTGGTGCTGCTGCTCATGCCTCGTCTCATTTGCAAGGTACAGCCAATCAATCACATGTTCCACAGAAATCTGGTGAACTTGCCATAAACCAGGCATTGAAGATGCTAAGTGAAGACAGCAGTCAGATTCTCTGCCCACAAAGAGTTTATGATATAGTGGAGGAACACAATGAAGTCACTGATGAATATATATTACAAATGGTGTGTTTTGAAGGAGGGATTAGTTCTGTGAGAGAGCACAATTGGAGATTTGATTTAGAGGTGAGCAGGATGTGACTTAGGGAATAAAATTGTCTGAGGGCCAGGAGGTACCTAGAGGTTAACCGTGGGGATGATTGGCAGGATAGCATTCTAGGTGAAAGGATAGCAGGAGTGGCAGCTTTAAGTCAGGAAAGAGCCTGATTCCACCAGTCCCACTACCCTTTCATTTTTACATCCTGATTCCTCACAATCTCCAGTAATCACATCATTACCCTTTCCCCATGCAAGATTCCCCACCCAGGTAAGAGCTATTTCTGTTTTCTCTCTCATGTGTTTTCATGCTCCCCACATAGTTGTTAAGCTCTGCGTGCTGTATTCCTGAGTCTGTGATCTCCATCCTCTGTTCTGAGGCCAAGGTTCCTGGTGCTTTTTCCCGCAGGCAGAGCTGATCCGGAAGCAGGCCCAGGAGAAGTTTGACCTAAGTGAGAACTGTTCAGAGCGGCCTGGACTGCGAGGAGCTGCTGGAGAGCAACTCAGCTTTGCTGCTGGACTGGTGTACTCGCTGAGCCTGCTGCAGGCCACACTACACCGCTATGAGCAGTAAGTGACTGCTGACTCCCTCACTCCCAGGGTTAAGGTCCAGGATTAGCCGGAACTGAGATTGCCTGGCAGACTCTAGCCTCACAGTGCCCTTCTCTGGTCTCTAGTGCCCTCTCTCAGTGCAATGTGGATGTATATAAGAAAGTGGGCAGCCTCTACCCTGAGATGAGTGCCCATGAACGCTCCTTGGATTTTCTCATTGAACTGCTGCACAAGGATCAACTGGATGAGACTGTCAATGTGGAGCCTCTCACCAAGGCCATCAAGTACTATCAGGTGTGGGGCAAGAACTCGGGCTTGGAGTAGGAGGCAGGGAAGCTTTTACTTGATGGGGGCTCTTAGGAATATATTCAAGGTTATATGTCCCATGCTGGTGCTTGAGGCCTGGTTTGTTCTTAGATGAACTCTCCATATGATGCAGCTTGAGGGCTTTGGATTCTCTTGTACCTCTGGAGACCCATGGTGACCAGGGCTCAAACTACAGTTTGGGAAGAACTCCCCACCCTGCCAGGGCCTAAAAACTTTCTTTTGTTATCTCTCCTCAGCATCTGTACAGCATCCACCTTGCCGAACAGCCTGAGGACTGTACTATGCAGCTGGCTGACCACATTAAGGTGAAGTGTCTGGGCCAGTGATTGAGCCCCTGTGGAGATCAGAAATGGTGGGCATCAGGTCAAAAAATCAGGTGCCCAAGGAGTGTCACATAAGACTAGGGCAGAGTTACCAAAGGCATATCAGGGAAACTAGAGGACCTATTTATGTATGGAGGTCAGCAGATGGTGGGTGGGGACTTCTTAAAGCTGATAAGGTAAAAGGGCTCCTGCTGGGGGCTGATGATTGCATGCTTCTCTCCTCACAGTTCACGCAGAGTGCTTTGGACTGCATGAGCGTGGAAGTAGGACGGCTGCGTGCCTTCTTGCAGGTGAGAGCACATCTAGATCTGTGTGAGCTCCTCTTCCTCCTTAGTCCTTACTTCCATACTCCCAGCCTTAATGCTAACTTGGTTCTCCATCCATTTTCTTTTTCCTGAGTAGGGTGGACAGGAGGCTACAGATATCGCCCTTCTGCTCCGGGATCTGGAAACTTCATGTAGTGACATCCGCCAGTTCTGCAAGAAGATCCGAAGACGAATGCCGGGGACAGATGCTCCTGGGATCCCAGCTGCACTGGCCTTTGGACCACAGGTTTAGGACTACGATTGGGGAAGGGAAGGAAACTGAATAGAAACAGGAGGAGCATAGCACTTTAAGATCTGGATCTGGTCAGGGGACAAAAATAATTTTGGGGTAGCTGGAAACTGTGGTGCTGAACCTAGGGTTGACTCCTGACTCTGGTCTGTCACACAGGTATCTGACACACTCCTAGACTGCAGGAAGCACTTGACGTGGGTCGTGGCTGTGCTGCAGGAGGTGGCAGCTGCTGCTGCCCAGCTCATTGCCCCACTGGCAGAGAATGAGGGGCTACCTGTGGCTGCCCTGGAGGAACTGGCTTTCAAAGCAAACGAGCAGGTGGGCCTGGGTGGCTGGGCAGAGGTGCGGGGAGAGTCAGTGACCAGTGTGGGGCTTTCACTTCTGTCTTTGGCTCCTGCAGATCTATGGGACCCCCTCCAGCAGCCCCTATGAGTGTCTGCGCCAGTCATGCAAGATCCTCATCAGTACCATGAACAAGCTGGCCACAGCCATGCAGGAGGGGGAGTATGATGCAGAGCGGCCCCCCAGCAAGGTGGGTGGAGATTTCCTTGGAGAAGTCGCAGAGGCCTGTAGGAGTAAGACTTGCAGAGCTACTGCTAGCTGTGGGAGGATGGGGAGACAGGAGGAAGGCATCAGGAGAGCACCATCCTGCCTAGAAGGCAGGGTTTTCCTTATAACTGGATCTCTCTGAAAGGAGCACATTGATGATCTCCTCTCTCCACCCTCACCTTCTCACCCCTGTCCCCCGCCGACCATTTCTTAGCCTCCACCAGTTGAGTTGCGGGCTGCCGCCCTTCGTGCAGAGATCACAGATGCTGAAGGCCTGGGTTTGAAGCTCGAAGATCGAGAGACAGTTATTAAGGAGTTGAAGAAGTCACTCAAGATTAAGGTGAGGGTAGTGTACCTCAAAATCTGGGGGCCAGGAAGTTGGTAGGGCCCGGGAAAGCATGAGTGTTGGGGATTGGGACCAAGACATCTTGGGAGTTGAGGGGAGAAGTGGGACCTGCAATCAATGGGAGCTCTAGTGAGCTCCCAGGGAGCCTCCTGACTCATGGTCTAGCTCCCAGGGTCCAGGGACTGTGGGGAGGATGTCAGGGATATAGAAGCTTTGTCCTTGTCCAGGGAGAGGAGCTAAGTGAGGCCAATGTGCGGCTGAGCCTCCTGGAGAAGAAGCTGGACAGTGCTGCCAAGGATGCGGATGAGCGCATCGAGAAGGTCCAGACTCGGCTGGAAGAGACCCAGGCACTGCTGCGGAAGAAGGAGAAGTCAGGCATTTTCCCTGGAGCCTTGCTTCCTCTAATCCTCCCCACTGCTAGAGCTCTCTGTCTCCTAACCCATACCCCCTACTCAGTTTCAGTTTCTCTTGTAGTGAGACTCCGCATTTTCTTTACCCAGTACCGACCCATTGCATCACCCCAGCCTAAGCCTGTGCTGCTCTGCCCTGGCTCCTCACTAGTAGGGCTATTCCAAGGACCTCTCAGGGCTGAATAGTCAAGGGGTGCTTTGGAGAAGGGACACTGCTAGAGCCCAGATTCTCCTTCACAGAGAGTTTGAGGAAACAATGGATGCGCTCCAGGCTGACATTGACCAGCTGGAGGCAGAGAAGGCAGAACTAAAGCAGCGGCTGAACAGCCAGTCCAAGCGCACGATTGAGGGACTCCGGGGCCCTCCTCCTTCAGGCATTGCTACTCTGGTCTCTGGCATTGCTGGTGGTAAGTACAGTAGAATAGGCAGCACTAGCACAGAGGAGATTGTCCTCTCTTCTGTCCTTGGCCTCAGTTTGACCTCTCTGCCCTCTTTTACCCCTGGGATATTCAGCGAGGAACATGCTTGCACAGTTTCACTCTGTGCCAGTTTTCACCAGGTTTTCTCTTCCCCTGAAGATATGTGCTGAGTTCCTCTGGGCAAAGGAGGGCATTACTAAATTGTTAATGAGGTTCAGAATAATGATGATAGCTGGACTCTAGTAGATGTCCTTTCTGGCTCTGTAGTCTGACCTTTCTGCCCAGCGCTATATCCCAGAGGACTGTCAGGCAGCAGCAGGCTGGGCTGACTCTCCTGGGGCATCTGTCCCTGCTGCATACCTGCTCTTGATTACTTCCCTGCTTGGACACTGTCTTCTCACTGAGTTCATGTGGCTTAATTCTATGATATGGTCATATCTTCCACTGCTGAATTCTTCCAGTTTCACTTGGGGCTTTTGTTCTGACCTTTGCCTAGTCACTCAGTATAGTCAGGGCTCCTCACCTAGAGTTTTTCTGGTTATCAGTTCCAGCCTCCCCAGTTTCCTCACTCAGGACGTGGCTGCTGCTGTCTTCGTTCTCTGCCCTCTGGTGGTTTTGTTTGCTCTCCAGTTTCTCACTTACCCATCTCACGTCCAGAAGACAGGCTCCTTGCCCTGGATTTAAACCCTTAGGGCCTTCAGACTTTCCCAGCTGCTCCTGGGTCTTGTCAGCTGACCTCACCTACATAGAGTCTTGTCTTCATCAGAGTCTTGAGAGATGACCAAGTACTTTCTTGACTTTAGGCTCTTAGTACAGACAGCTCTGTGTTCTTTGGAGAGAGTTTACAGAATTACTACATTGTATTGTTCTTAGCACTTTTTAAACAAACATTAGTTCTGAATTTATGAAACTTCCCACCAAAAAAGAAGATCTTTTGCCTCAGAGTAATGGAGAATCCTGAGGAGCAAGGGAGTGTGTTTGCATCCCCAACCTAAGCTTTGCTGCTGGTGAGCACAAAGGGTACAGACATATGGGGGTCTCTGGAGCATTCTCTATGCCCTTCTGGAAAATGGCATCTGAGGCAGGGAGGCAGGAACACCCTCATGTTCCAAGTACTTTGTACAGCGCACAGTCCATTTGCCACGGTTTCTCACACATTGTACCCTGTCTCCTGGCCACAGTCCTGTTTGGTGTCTTTCTTTCATACATATCTGCTCGTCCCCAAAAGTAGGTGGCAGAGGGTCTTGTTAGAGAAAGTATGATGATCAGGAAAAGAGTTTTCTTGCAGGTTGTGTTTAGGATTCCTCTGGCATGTCCCCCAACCCCCAAATCATCTAACTCCTCTCTCCTCTTTTCCTGCTCCCCCATGGGCTATCCTGAGAACAGAAGAACAGCAGCGAGGTAGAGACCCACTCTGGCTGGGAATTACTAGGGCTGGTGGGAATTGGAGCTAAGGGAGCAGGGTGAGGGGAAAGCCAGAACTGGAGGTGGGTGAGGGGGGAATGAATAAAGGAGAAGAGCAGGAATGGAGCCCAATTTTCAACTCTCTCCAATTGGGGCTGATGACATTTGTTATAATCCCCATAGGAGGCGTCCCTGGGCAGGCTCCAGGGTCTGTGCCAGGCCCAGGGCTGGTGAAGGACTCACCACTGCTGCTTCAGCAGATCTCTGCCATGAGGCTGCACATTTCCCAACTCCAGCATGAGAACACCATCCTCAAGGTGAGGGAGCCACAGGGAGGACTGGCATGGGGTATGGAGCATATTTTTGTCCCATTGATGATAGATGGCAAGGACCTCCTAGCACACCTCTTACCACTACCCTTCTTTTTTTACCCACAGGGAGCCCAGATGAAGGCATCCTTGGCATCCCTGCCCCCTCTGCATGTTGCAAAGCTATCCCATGAGGGCCCTAGCAGTGAGTTAGCAGCTGGAGCACTGTATCGTAAGACCAGCCAGCTGCTGGAGACGTTGAATCAATTGAGCGCACACACGCACGTAGTAGACATCACTCGCACCAGCCCTGGTATGTACCTGCCAACCCCCAAGATGACTAAACCACCCCCTCCACTTGGCCCAGGGATTTAGCCCCTGCTCAGGTGGTTCCCCCACTGCAGAAGCCTTCCTAGCAGTGTTCTTTGGCTTTACTGTTCAGTTTGCTTGATTCACCCACTCCCTCTTAAGTACTTGCTCTGTTAGAAAGTCTGAGTCCTGCACCCCTAACCCTTAATCCAGTACAGCTGCCTGCCAGCGCCTTGGTGGGCCTCACTAGCTTTCTCTCCCCACAGCTGCCAAGAGCCCGTCGGCCCAGCTTATGGAGCAAGTGGCTCAGCTTAAGTCCCTGAGTGACACCATTGAGAAGCTCAAGGTCAGCTCAGACTTTGCCCTGCAGAGCTCACTTCACAGCATTCACTGGTGGAGCCAGACACTTCCTCTAAGCCCAGCCCTATGCTAGACAGCAACTGGGGAGGAGGTGGAAGGGAAGCCAGGGTTTTTGCCATGGAAGCTCACTGTCTTGGTGCAAACAGAAGAGTCTCATAACAAAATGGATAAGCTAGGATCAACTTTAGAGTGACTGGTTCAGGCTTTAGCTTCCATCAGAGCTGAGATCATTGTGAGGTAGAATGGTTGGGCATGGCTTCCCAAAGGTGGTAGAATATGAGTTGGGCCTTACAATATGAGGACTTATAAAGTAAGGACGGGTGTAGGGGTGGGGATGGGCTCGGAGATGAGAGCAAAAGCATGGTGATACAGAGGACTGAGTCCCTGCCCCCTTGGTATTAGTGTTTCTGTGAAACGGTGGTCTTGTGCTAGCCTGTGGGGGTCCCCAAATGAACCCTTGTCTTCCTCTCCCCTTCCGTAGGATGAGGTCCTAAAGGAGACAGTGTCTCAGCGCCCTGGAGCCACAGTACCCACTGACTTTGCCACCTTCCCTTCGTCAGCCTTCCTCAGGGTAAGGGGGAGCATGGGGTGGAGGACAGGACAGTGTGGACGGCTCAGGTGGGTCCTCCTCTCCTCCAGAATTGGAAGAGGCCTTTGGAGTCTCAGGTCTAACAACTGCATACTTTGGGTTATCTGGCCAAATCTTACAGGTAACTCAGAAGTGCTTACGAAGCTTTGAAATTCCAATATTTTAGCACGTAAACACTTTCCATGACTTTTGACACCAGGAGGGGCTCAAAACTCCCTTGTCAGACTACGTATCCCCATTCTGATTTGAAAAATATGGTCACCATAGCCCAGGAATTCAGAAGCCCCAGTCTCCCAAGGAGCTGCCTTGGTCTCAGTGCTCAGGGACCCCTTTAGTGGCCCACAGCTCAAGTAAGCCCCTGACCTGGAGTCCTTTTTTCCTCATCAACCACCAGGCCAAGGAGGAGCAGCAGGATGACACAGTCTACATGGGCAAAGTGACCTTCTCGTGTGCGGCTGGTCTTGGACAGCGACACCGGCTGGTGCTGACCCAGGAGCAGCTGCACCAGCTCCACAGTCGCCTCATCTCCTAAGCACTCCTTCCGCTGCTGTCCCCTTCGACCCTCAGCCCTCTGGTGCCGCTCTGCCCTATGCACAGCCACCTCAGCCAACCCCCAGGTAGAACCATGTGGGTTAAGCTCTTCCTGCCACATTCAGCTTCACTCCCACCCTTTCAGCATCCTGCCCCTTCACCTTGACCCGGGTTCCCCCACTCTTATCCCCTGGCCTCTGCCATAATTTGCTGTTCAACTGCTCCCTCCTTCCTGAGGGGCCTCAGAGCATGTGGGGGGTAGGCTGAGACCCCACCACCAAAGGTTGAGTGAGGTCCCCTTGATTGAGGACTTCACCCCTTGATTAAAGCAAGTTCTGCTTCAGTGCTTCCTGTGTGGTGTTGAGAGTGGGACTTGGGCCATTCAGCGCAGGAGAGGAGGAGCGATGCTGAGGACACTATGGCTGTATCAAATTTGAGGGCTCCTCTTCAAAGCCACCAGTAGAATGCTGTCTCTAAAATTCATTTGCAGTAAGTTACTCTGAGCAAGGAGGAAAGGGCTAGACTTAGGGCTAGGTACCTAAGTTGATTTATGGAGTTAGGAGGGTTGGGAGAGTATAGCCTCTGCCAACCTGCCTTTGTTTCCTGTAGCTTCCACTGCTCTTCAGTGCAGTTTTTGGAGCTGGAGTAATGATATGATCACCACCCCAGCCAACTTTCTGATGCACTGGTCAGAGTCTTCCCACAAGACCTGGGGCCTCTCAGAGGGAATATTTGCTAAATAAGGGAAAACTAAAGTGGCACACTAGTAAAGGATAGAAGACAAAAGTTACTCCCATACCCCTCTACAAATTAGTATCACCTGGGGAGCTTCTTTTAAACTGTAACAGATACCTGGCTCTTGACCCAGATCTGCTGAAAACACTTCCAGCGTTGGGACCCATTAGGCTGGTAAACAACACCCTAGCATTGTAGGTATTAGCCCCAGTTTAGATTAGTTGGCTAGGTCCTTTATACTCTTTTTTCCCCACTTAGGGAAAGAATTCCAGTCTAAACTTGCAGAAGGCTCTGATCTGGATGCAAAAAGAGGCCATTGGCCCTGCAGAGTGCCAGGCCTGACTAGGCCAGACCTGCTCATGTGCTTTCTGTCATGAGGGGAAGGGCAGACAGGAGGAGGGGGCTCCAAGGTGGGAGCCTAGGGGTCATATTCTTAATGAGCATACTGTCTGGGAGGTCAGTGGGTTATAGAGTTTTAATGCCTGCTGTGTACCTTGGCCCTTCTCACCTGGGATTCTGAGAGAAAATGATTTGATGACTTTCGTCAGTATTCTCAAGGATGGTACACAACCAGTATCATTCTAGATGCATTGGATATAATGCATTACATATGAAGGACTAATTCTCACAGAACTGGTTGAGAAGGGTTGTTGTATCTTGAACCAGAGAGTCTTCACATCTCCAAATCTGTCTGCTAGACAGACCACATTGTCTTTTCCCTGGGACTGGATTCTACCCAAGCTGCTGACCTGCCTTCTGATTGGTGTTGTTAAGACACTAAGGCCAAGCAACTTCTGGTGGCACTTTGAAAGGATAGGGCTTTTTATTTCATCCTTTTCCCTTGGTGGTGGTTTCTCACTACTTGAACTACTGCTCTCTTGAATGCCAAATTCATTCACCCAATTACTTGTTGGCTGTCTCCCTGTGAGTGCCCCACAGTTATCTGTCCAAGAGTCAGTATGTCCAAAACTGAAATCATCTCTTTTGTGTCGTAGATTTGGCAAGCCACAAACCAGGATATCCTTGACTTCTTTGATCTCCTTAGCTAAGGTAGTTATCTAGCCCTGTTCAGCTTGTCCTCATTACTCTTTCAAATTTGTCTACTTTTTTACATCCACAAACTTTGTGTATAAATAACTTCTTGCTCTGGTCACTTCAGCAGTTTTTAAACTGGTTACCCTACTTCCATTGCCTCTTTTCAACCAGTTCTGCACATCAATATGAGGGACATTTCCAAAATGCAAACTGGGACGTGTCATTCCCTGATTTAAATCCTGAATTGATTTTTCCAACCAAATTTAAAATTCATGTAACATCCTGAAATGGTTCCTCTATGTGTCTAGATTTTAAAATTTAAATTTACTGGAATGGCACTTGAGGCCGGCCATCCATGATTTGGGTCCTGTCCACCTCTCTAGCCTCTCCCCACGTGCCTGGTGTTTGAGCTTTAGTGAACCCCTGCAGTTTCCTTGCCACCCTGTGCTCTCTCAGGCCTCTTCCCACCACCCAGAATGCCATCTACCTCCTTCTCTCCACTCTATTTCCCTGTCCCCACCCCATCCTCATTCTTTAGCTGACATTCTGTCCATTTATTAAGATAGCTCTGCCATTGGCATCTCAGGAAATCTCCAATCCCTGTGGCCTATTAAGTGTCCTCCTCTGGAGGCAGCAAAATATACAGACCTTTTTTTTAGGTATGCTTAGATTTAGTTGCTTTGTGACTTTGGCAAGATTTCTAATTTCTGATCTGTTTTCTTATCTGCAGAACGGAAATAATGGTATCTTACAGGGTTGTTACGAAGGCCAAATGAGATAGTGCATGCAAGCATCAAGCACTGTGCTGGCACACAGTAGGCTTGCTTCTCTTCTCCAGTATGTACTCCTACTATGCTACTTTCTGCCAGTAAGCATCTATTTCTATTTTAAGTGTTAGTTTAACTTAAGAGAAGTTAGTTTAACTTCCCTCCCACTTTAGGCAGGAGTTCCTTTAGGGTGTCTTCCGTCTCCGCATCCTGCCAAATACAAGAGAAGGGCACATATTTGGGGAGGAGGAAGATGAATTTTATTTTGGACATGAGTTTCAGGTGCCTGTGAGAATGTACAAGCAGAGCTGTCCAGTTGGCAGTTGGAACCTACTGGGTCTGGAGCTCAGCAGAGATGTCCAGATTGAAGATAAAGTTTGGGGAGTGAGTTGGGAGTGTGTCAGTGGTGGTTGAAGGCATGGTTTGGGCGAGGTTACTGTTCAAGTTACTAAGAAAACTGAATTTGAGGCAAAGCTAGTGCTAGCACTTTATTGGAAGGTGAAGTCTCAGAGCAGTGAAAGGAAGGGAGGAAAAGAAAATCAAAAGTTAATGTTAGTGAGTTGGCCCTTGCTTCACAAAGACACAGCTGGTCACTTGACCATGTTGGATGTCTCTGAATAGACTACACAGAAACACCATGCATTATATTTGGATTGATGGAGGTATGGAGGGGAAAATTCACCGCTCTGCTTCCTTTCCATACTTTACTGCCCAAAGTTGGCCATGAAGCCAGTGTTAGCTTCCCACTTTCTTGCTGGGATGATACTACTTGGCCACTGTGAAAGCCAGATCCCATGCCTAACTAAGTCCTGTAGTGGCAAGGGGAGCAGAATGTGGTCACCAACCTGTTGGAGTTGGTCAGCACAGAGTAAGCAGCTGGAGACCTGTGAGTCAGGTAAGGCTGCAAGAATCTGAAGCAGCAAGTTACCTGAGGAGAGTATACATAGGGAAGGGGAAGGTAGAGCCCTGGGAAGCCCTGAGAGTTAAAAAGTCTGTAGCCTGAAGGGGCATCCACTTCTCAGCAGGAGAGAGATTGAGCAGCTTAGAGGGCAAGTGAGTTCTGGGAAGTGGCCATTGTATGCACAGATGCCTGGTAAGCTGGCCAGAGCAGTCTCCATGGGATAGAGGAAACAGAAACTGGGTTATGGTGGTAAGAAAGGAGAGACAGCAGCTCACGCTTACTGTGTGTCCTGGGTAGCATCCATTCATGGGGATTGTGGAGAATGGGTAGCCAGGCAGATAACCAGGGGAATAGTTTCTGGAAACTGGGATGTGATGGTGGGGGAGAGGCCTGGTGAGGTGCTCTGTGTACCAGGATGGAACATATTAACAACCTCCTTTGATTCATCCAGAGCCATAACTGCCAGTTTGACAGAATCAAGCAGATTGGCTGGCAGTCAGTAGAGGCAGGGTATGAACATTATCAACTCTGTTCCCTAGGAGCTTCTCTCTTCTGGTGGGTTCTGGGCAGTTTCCCAGGGTTAACATCACCTGCCCCGGCATGGAGGCAGCTTTGTGAAGTAAGAATAGGGCTTATTTACCAGTAGAGTGGGGCAAAAAAAAAAAAAAAAAAAAGAATAGGGCTTATATTCCATCTCTTTCACTATTGAGCTGTCTGAACATAGAGAAGGTGCTTAACCTTTGAGTGTCAGTTTCTCTGTTTGTAATATGACGCCAATAGCACCTTCCTCAAGTGATATTCTTAGGTAGTCTTCAGGGAGAAAATTAAATGAGACAGCATGCTTGATACAGGTGCTTAAAAAATGATACCTGGGAGAGGTTGATACTAAACAAATGAAAAGGAAACAAAATAGAAGTAGTCACATTCCCAAGATGTACTTGCGACACACATAACCATCTTTTGAGCCCCAAATGATAGGTGGCCCTTAGTGCCCCAATTTTCAGCTTGTTTCTTTGGGTGGCTACTGTCATATTTTCTACTGTCCAGGCACTCTTACCTCCTTTTAGCAGGCCAAGGCTGAGAGAGAGTCTAAACCTGGTGGCACCTCCCTCACCCCACTCCCACAATTTGAATTCACCTGCTTGGTTCACATTTTCAGCGCTCTACTTCAGTGGGGAGCAGGGGTGGAGCAATGCAAAGACCCAAATCTGCTGCTGGGTAATCCTAGGGAATGTACGAGGCCCCAGAGCTAAGTCCACCCTATACAGACATGAGGCAAAAAGTGCATTAGGAACAGGTATGCTCTATAGCCCAGGTACTATGGAAGTTTCATAGCACAGGTGACCTTGGCCCCTGTCAAGTAGGCCCAGGGCACCTGGAGAACACAAAGTCTGAGGGTGAGTGGTCCCTCCTGCTTCTCTGTGGTGGTTTCATGTCATCTCTTCTATGTGTATGGGTAGCATGATCATACCTAGCCTCTCTCCATCTCTATTATCTGTGCCACCTGAAACAGGTACCACTACTCCCAGGGACAGAGGTCCTCAGAGGGGCAGCCTGGGACGTTTGGCCTTCATTCCTTTCCCAAAGGCTGGGGAGTTTGGATGTGGGGATTAGACTCTTCTTGCACAAATAACGGGTACCAGAGTAAATAGATGTCTCTCACCCTGTGTTTTGTTACTTTTTATTATGGAAAATTTTAACATACAAATGAGAGTAGAATGTAATGACTTACATGTACAATAGTTGTTCATTGCATGGCTGATCTCATTTCATCTTTGTCCCTTTTCCTCTCCCTTTTACTCCCATAGTATTTTGAAGCAAATCTCAGACATCTTATCACCTTATTTCATCCAAAAGTATTTTAGTATCCCTAAAAGATATAGCTCTTTAAAAAAGAAAACTACAATA